AAGTACAGGCATGTGAGTTAAACGTTTACCTCAAGTAGACACACGCCCTGGAGAGAACAATCATGGGAGAAGGAAGGGCTGCTTATGCACAGGGAGATAGCTCAGGGTGCAGAAGAGTATGAAGGGATGGACACTGGGAGGAGGTAACTATGGGGAGGAAGTGGGAGGGGAGCTGCTGCATTGTAAATTTTGGTCAATAACATGAGACAAAGTATATGTGAACTGCTGTATGAAAAGTGAATTTACTCTGTAAATCTTCACCCAAATCCTAAAAAAAAAAAAAAAAAAAAAAAAAAACCAAACAACAGTTTAGCTTAATTAAGAACAGTTGCCTTGAGTAATCTGCACATTCAAGATTTATCTTTATGATATCAAAATGACATCAAAGGATTACACAGAAAACTTAGGGGCAGTGAGTTTGTATTAATGAAGGAGGAACAGCTCAGAATAGGAAGGTAAGAATGGTTGCACAAGTTGAAGAACTCAATGTCACTGAATTATACATGTGAAAACTGCTGAACTGGCATGTGTTTGCCTGTGTATACTCTAAAAAACAAAATAAATTTTAAAATAAATAAAAAATCCCGTAAGTAAATCCACAAAGCCAGGACCACTTAGGTTTCTAGATTCTAGTTAGAGCACCCCAGGAAAATGTTCATATGCCTGAGTGGAGATTTGACCATGGTTATCATAAGACTCCAAACGTTTCAGAAAGTAGTATTCTTCCCCTGAACATGTCCTTCCAATTCTAATAGGATTTGATTCTACATATCAAATTCATTTTATCATTTAGGAACTTACAAGTTAAATGAAAAACTTAAAATCTCTAGGGCAGAATTTACCAAGTCTCATGCCATAAAAAAAAAATTCCACTTCCTAATAAAGCAAATTCAACATTTAGAATAACAGCAGGCAAGGGACAAATAGTACCCCACAGTATACTTAGTGTCTTGGTCACTGTTTCTGTGGCCTAAAAAAATACAGTAATTCTCTGGAGCACTGCTATCCCATTCACTGGAAGCTTCAGAAAGTTTAAATATATACAGAGCAAATGAAAAACAGATAATCAGCTAATTAACATTTCAAAAAACAGTAAGAAAACCTGTAATTCCAGTGAATAACCTAGTTTTGACAATAATTGAACTGACTGGTTCTGTCTTTTCATTCACTTCCTCTCATCTCCCTCTACTTCTGTGGAAGAGTGGGATTGTTTTAACTGCCATCCAGTCAGGTCATCCCCTCACCCCCTACTCATGGCAACGTCAGGGACAAAATACCACTACCTGGTCCTGAACCATCCCCATGATCAGATGCAGACTGGACCATTGTGAGCTACACAGTTTTCAGTGGCTGATTTTTGGAAGTAGATCACCAGGCCTTTCTTTGTAGTCTGTATTAGTCTGCAAATTACATTTAAAACTGTTCAGTATCATAGCAACACACAAGCCTCCAATGACAGATGGGGGGTGGCTGCATATGAGGTACACTGGGAGCTCTGGTAGCATAGTGCCTAAAGCATCTAACTGCTAACCAGAAGGCCGGTGGTTCAAACTCACTAGCCACTCCTCAGAAGGAAGACTGGGCAATCTACCTGAGAGGTTGCTATGAGTCGGAACGAACTTGACAGCAGTGAGTTTGGTTTGGGTTTGGAATCAGAAACAAACTGAGTCTCCCACTTGGCAAGCAAGAATTCTACCAATGAACCAAATACATCCCACCTAAGGGTGGAATGGGAGCTCTGGTAGCATAGTGCCTAAGCCACTTGACTACTAACCAGAAGGCTGGCGGTTCAAACCCACCAGCCACTCCTCGGTAGGAAGGTTGGGCAATCTACTTCCATAGTGATACCACCTCAGCAACCCAAGGAGCGGCTACTATGAGTTGGGTCTGACTTGATGGCACATAACAACAACAACAACAACAACAAGGGTGGAATATTAATCACCTAATATGCACCAGACACTGGTCTGTAGATTTATTCTCATGGGTTCAAGGTTCTTCTCCTTTAAAAGTAAGTTCACATTTGGATGAAACAAACTTGAAGCAGGTATTATTTACAGATAAAGAAAACTGAGACAACTTGTTTAAGTAGTAAGTAGAAGAGCTGAGGTTCGAACCTAACTGTTTATAGGACTTTAGCTTTCCCTTCTTCACTTTCTTCCTCCGGATCTCTCATAAAACACCTACATTTAAGTTTCTGGACAGAAGATAGGGAAGCAGGAGGAACAGAAAAATGTTCAAAAATATTTTCTGCAAGAAGTTATATGTATCAAAAGAGTTAAATACAAAATTTCACTCAAAGGAGATTTAAGTGGCTAATGGCTGGAACAAATTGTTACAGAGGTTCAAAGGACAAAGAGAACTTTTTGCTGGGGTGAGCAATGAGGAATTCACTGAGAGGGAAAGAAAAGAGCGTTGGTGAGTTAGACCTTGAGAGAAAAGGAGGATTCTTTTAGGCAGAAGAAACTTCAGGGAGCAAAGGTGAAAGAGGAGGAAGATATAAAGCATGCTTGAAAAGACAAAACATCACTCTCATTGAACCACAGAAATTACGTAAGAAGGCTGAAAAGACAGGATTGGGTGAGACAGAGGACCTTGAAACAAACTCCCCACTTACAGCACCAACGTAAAACTAAATTTTATTTTGAGATATTTATTGGCTACATGAAATAAGATTGCACATGTCTTATTAATTTGAAAGAAAGAGTCAGTGCTTCTGAGCTATGAAAAAAGTCTGGGACAGTACTTGGTATTGCTGTTGTTGTTATTTGCCATCGAGTCAGCCCCAACTCATAGTGACCCCTCCTTGGGTTTCTGAGGCAGTATCACTACGGAAGTAGGAATGTCCAACCTTCCTTCCGAGGAGTGGCTGGTGGGTTTGAACCGCCAGCCCTCTGGTTAGCAGTCAAGTGCCTCAGGCACTATGCTACCAGAGCTCCTAGTACTTGATATAAAGGTGATTAAATGCTGAGTCTGAATTCAAATAACTCATTTTTCTGTACCTTAGTAACCACCACACTTAAGTTCAAAGAGATTAAACAACCAACCAAAAACCCTAAACCTACATCCAGATTGTTTATCTCATGCCAGCTAGTCAACTATAAGCAAGAAATAGCACCCACAAATCTTTTCCACAGTATGAGGGGTAATGAGCTTGCACAAGAAGATATAATGACAAAGCTCCTCTAACAGAAAAATGTTCCTTGCATTGGAAGGCCTGGTTTAAAAACAAAATAAACAGCTTCTGTTGGACTTTTAAAAAATACACTTTTATCCTTAATGTCTTTTTTTTTTTTTTTTTTTTTTTAAAGTCCAGGCTAGAATTTGGGAAAATGTCCAATTAGACCTCAACTATCCTGAAGCTACTGGTAAACTCCAAATATCTACATGACTTCAAAACTATCATTTCCTCCTTAAATTACATGTCTAAATCCTTCCCACCTAGTCCTTTTTACTACCAGATCTGTGTATTTTAGTGAAATCACCACTTACTGCTATCTTTCTGCAGGCCTGGCAATGCCTCTACAAGAAACAAAATAAAAAGTGTGCTAACAGATGGAGCTCTGGCAGCTCTATCTCTTCAGTCCTCAAACCATAGGAAGCTAAGAGGACATAAAAAGCAGCATTCCATAAAAAGTGAAAGAGGGTATTGTGAAACTCAGCAGATTCTCACACTAATAATTGTCAATTTTAAGCTGAAAAGAAACTTTGAATCTAGCCCAACACTTTCATTTTATACTTTAAGAAACTGAGGCCCAGGGCAGTTAAGTGATTTGCCCAAAGCAACTGCTTCTCTATAAAAGCTTTAAGTGTCTGTTACCAGCACAGGGGCACGTAATCACATACTAACTCACTCCATAACTTAAATGTTTATGAGATTAGGTACCTGGTCTAAAAAAAAAAACAAACTTTACCTCTTGTACACCCCCCTCTGTGCCTTGCCCAGAGCTATAAAGAAAATGCTCAATTAATCACAAACGAATACTTTATATTATTTGCCTTTCAGCCAACTACTTACCGAGACTTACTCTTCTTCCGTTATCTAAGATAAAGTGGAAGCCAAAAGTGCCTGAATTTCTCAAGTTCTGACTTGAGAACAAGAGGATCAATAGAAACCTCAAAATTTAAGGGTTCAGTAGGGCATATTACTGTTTCGCCAGCTGCCTTCTTTTTCTTTTTTTTTTAAACTATTTTCAGTCTAGGTTTTTCGACAAGCAATTACTATACGTACAGTTAATCCACATGATCACTTTTGAGACGTTTCGATTTGTTAAACAATTTAGCATCTTTTGTCTCAAAAACATGAAAACTATACTCCCCACGGTCAATTAACATTATAACACAAACATATAAAGTACAAAATAAAAAAGAAACGTAATCCCATAAAAATCCCATTACCCAAAAAGCATTTAAAGTACCATACGTCTTCCCTGGTTCATTCTGTTTGCCTTCAAACCAACGAAGTTTCTGAAGAAAAGGGGCGACCGAGGGAGAGGGCGGGAGGTGAATTCGGCACCGAGTTCACAGGTTGTGGGTGCATCGGATTATGCCACCGTCCACAAGTAACCAGTTTTGGAAAATGCAAACAAGGCACATGTGCATGCTTTAGCGATATTTAACCATGGTAGCTACGAAATCAGATCTGTATAAAGGTCCCACACACACACACACACACACACAAAAAGCAACGTACATGCAGGTATTACTCCGTTGAGGGGGAAAAAAAATCACCAGAAACGGTAGCAAACTGAATGAACCAAGGCGAAATAAGCCGTTCTGGCCGGCTGCAGAAGGCGTTTTGTAAAGATTCTGCCTTTCCGAAATACTGGACAAAAAGTTCCTTGCTGAGTTTCAAAACTAACTACCGTTTCTACCTCACAAATGACAAACGCTTAAAACAGACTACATGCCGTCAAACCACCCAGATTACCACTGCCCAAAAGATTTTGCGTTTTTTCTTAACAAAACGAATATTGGAAAGGGAACAAAAAGCGTCTTACCGCAAACACAGCACGAGAGGGACTGTCGGAAATAAGGCAGGAGCCTGTTAATCTCTGTAAACGCCTTGGGGTCTCCGGGGTCGTAGTTGAGCACTAGGCGGCTCGCGGAAATGTAGAGAGCAGTAGCATTCACCGGGTTCATTGCAGACACTTCGACACTGATGGCCCCCGGTTGAAAAGAAATTCCGGATCCAACTTTGTAGGCAGCCAGGTAACAATGGCGAATTTGCAACAATTCGGAGGAAATCTAAGCAGAACCACTTGCCAACAAAGTAACCAAAATCCGTGCAAGTTTGTAGAGCTAAAGCAATCCTCCCACACATGGGGCCCTAGCGCCCCTCCTCCGTCCCTGAGACTTCCAGACAGAAAATATAAAGAACGAGAGAAACCAGCGTTCGAGATCGTCCCGAGCGGCCACAGGGAGCAAATGCGGCGGCTTCGGCGCTCGGGCCAGCACTCAGTGCTCAGTCTAGCCCCGAGGCTCGGCGGGCGGCCTACGCTCGAGCTGCATCTCCGGACGCGACGGAACCTCCTCAGGTCCGGTTGGGGAGCGCGGGAGCAGGCCCGGCCCGGTCCAGGGGCGCGCGGGCACGTTTCTCTGGGGCTATAGGGCCCTTTACTCCATCACAGCGCTCGACTCATAGGCAGCGCCAACCGCAAAGACGACAGCTCGGGCGTCGGCTTCGTCAATCTAGTGCAAGAAGCCGCGGAGACGACTAGTGTTGCTGCTGCGGCTGGCGGAGGCCGCCGCCGTTCTCCCCATGTCGGACGCTGGGCCCAGAGTGTGCCTGGCTCTGTGCCCGGGCGACTGCAGCCCCGCTATTCCCTGAGGTGGCGAAACGGGCAGGAGAGTCCCCAACCCGATAGGGGAGGGCCGGAGAGGAAGTGCGCGGGCCGACGACGGCGGCGGGCGGGAGGGGGCGGGGAGCAGGCCAGGCGGGCCGCGTCGGAGCCCCCGCTCCTCAGTCGCACACTCTGGGGTCACTAGGCGCAAGCACCGCCCCCTCACTGCCCGACCATCTTCTCCGCGCCGTACACACACCGCCTTCGCCTACCACGACGGCCGCCGCGGACCGCAACGCCCGCCCGGCCGCTACCGAGCTAGCGCTCACACCGCCAGGCCCGCCGCCGCCCAGCGCACACAGCAAGGCCCCGCCGCAGGCCCCTCCCCCCCGTGCCTCGCTACCCTCACCCCGACTCCACGCGCCCTTCTAGCTCAGTCGGGCCTGGGCTATTGCGGCCTTACTGGATCCCACAAACTGTGCGACGCCTCAGGCCCTGCCGGCGACGACGACCGTTACCCCAACGGGCAAAGCCACTGTCATCCCCGAGACTCCCCCGCCGCCGTCGTCGCTACCACTCGCACGCATGCGCAGAGCAAACTCTCACCCCTCCCCCCGCCCTTTCCTTTCCCTTCGCTTCCCTTTTCCCCTGCTTCTCCTCTAAGAGCCCCCCTCCGCACCCTCCTAGAACTACCGGCTAACTCAACGCATGCGCATTCTACTACCCCACGCCACCGCCTTTCGACCGTACGCGTGCGCATTGACCGCCTACCCAGAAAACCGGATAAACACATCAGCCCGCTCACGCCAGCCCCTCCCTGATTCCAACCCACCCTGTGCTCACTGCGCATGCCTGCTTCTCCACTTACGGCTCTCAGAACGGAGCATGCTCTGCGAGCTGCCGGCTTTCTCCGCCCCTCCCCCATGCGCTCTCAAATTCCCTTTCCTAGGCGTCAGAGGCGTGTGGGCTGTGGTGATACTTTCGTTAGTTGACCCATCCTTTCCCGCGTTCCACTGCCTCGGTGCCCACCAGTGCTGAGACCCCGCAGGGTGGTGCCCTGTCCCGCTCCTAGCAGGCCTCAGCACAGCCACTTCTCCTCGTCCTGACTGACCACTGTGGGAGGAAATATCCGCACGGCCCAAGGCCCCGCCCTCGTGGCCTTTCTCCTCCAAACCGCACAGCCAAAGCATGGATAGGGCGCTGCCTCATTTCGCTGGCTCTCACGGAGCTCTTCCGAGCTGGGCAACAATTGCAATAACGTGGCTCTTCGCCTGCAGGTGTTCAGGTGGCGTTTGCTGCCTAAGGGCTGCGGCCCCGCTCGAGGGCTGTTAAGTCCCCTGCGGGTGAGCCGCAAGCAGCGGGACTGGAACCCACCGCCCTTTCCTGTCAATGAAATCGAGCCTCTCTCACAGGACCGCACCGAACTCGTACCGGAACAGAGTAGAGATTCAAAACAAAACGATTTTTTTAAAAGCTTATTTGCTAGACCTAGCTCTTATTGTGAACAAATCTTTTAGAGAATACATTGCCTTGCTTTAGGACAAACCCAAATCCTTGAAGCCTTTTCTGTTAATTTTGAACAAGCTTTGCCTTAGTTTTGCAGAAGACCGAGGACACTGGAATATAAATAACTGAAAGCCTAGTTTAACATTTGATACTCCTCCCCTCTAAAAGTACAAAACTTTTTTTTGAGTAGCACAAACGAAAGCAGGCTAGGAACATTTATTTCTGTAAATACCAAAACTCTAAAGTATAATTTCTTGTACATAGTAAATACTCTATGCACATTTGCAAAGTGAAATTTATGATGCATGTAAATCTTTTGTGGCATAAATATTTGTTTATGGTAGTTTTAGGGGATTTCCAATTAAAGAGTAGGAGAAATGAATAGTTAAGATATCAAGGAAACCTAGATAGCCTCGGATAGATTATTATCATTTGAGGCCAGGTTTATTTTCTTTAGAAGGCCCAGTATAGTATAAGCACTTATGTATTAAACAGTAAATTTTAACTTCCTAATTTGGAGCTCTGGTGGCATACTGCCAAAGGCATTTGACTGCTAACCAGAAGGCTGGCGTTTCAAACTCACCAACCACTCCTCAGAAGGAAGCCTGGACAATCTACTTCTGTAGAGATACCACCTCAAAAACTTAAAGGAAGGGTCACTATAAGTCGGATTCCACTCCATGGCAGTGGCAGTGACTTTGGGTTTTTTTTGTTGTTGTTGTTTATCAGTAAAACAAATTAAGCAAATATCAACTCTGATAGAGATTGGTGGAACCCGGGTGACTATGGCCCTTACTCACCCTTGGAACCTGGAACTGAACTCACTCCCATTACTCAACTTTCAGCCACACAATAGATAGACCTATGAAGTGAACAAAAACAACAGAGAGGTAAGCACTCCTTAAAACAACCAACCATAAGACATACAAAAGGCAGTATTTGCCCAGGGAGAAAGCTCAGAAGGCAGGAATGGATAGAAAAGAACAAAGGGAAATGGTAACCGTAGAGAGGAGGGAGGAGGTATGCTGTTACATTTTGTGGGGTTTGCAATTAATGTCATAAAACGTGTGAACTGTTGGATGGAAAAACAATTTGCTCTGTAAATTTTTACCAAATTACAATGAAAAGTTGAAAAAAAAAAAAAAAAACGTTATATATGTGGGAGCTCTGGTGGCGTAGTGCCTACGGTATGTGACTGCTAACCAGAAGGCTGGCAGTTCAAACCCACCAGCCACTCCTCGGAAGGAAGGTTGGGCAATCTACTTCCGTAGTGATACTGCCTCGGAAACCCAAGGAGGGGTTGCTATGAGTCGGATCCGACTCCACAGCAGTGAGTTTGGTTTTTTTGGTTTATAGATAAATGGAGAGAGAGAAAGAAAGTGTGCTCTGGCAGCATAAAGGTTAAAGCACTGGGCTGCTGACCAAAAGGTTGGTGGTTCAAACCAACCAGCCACTACCAAGGAGACAGATGTGGGAGTCTGCTAACTAGATTTGTAGTCTTGGAAACCCTACAAGGTAGTTCTACTCTGTCCTGTTGGGTTGCTACAGTTCTGTTTTTTAATGGGTATAAAATATTCTCAGTAGTTTTGTATCTAGAAAATTACAAAAAGTTCTAAAATTCACATTTTCATAAGTTTCATCTTCAAATTTTGGGGAATAAAAGAAATGTTCTAAGCTCACCTTCAAATAGAGATGTTTCATATAACAATTCTATTTTTATTCCTGGGAGCTCTGGTAGCATAGTGGCTAAGACACTTGCCTGCTAACCAGACGGCTGGCGGTTCAAACCCACCAGCCACTCCTCGGAAGGAAGGTTGGGCAATCCTACTTCCGTAGTGATACTGCCTCGGAAACCCAAGGAGGGGTCGCTATGAGTCGGGGCCGACTCGACAGCACATAACAACAACAATAACAATTTTTATTCCAGACTCCTAGGTCTTCAAATTGTTATTGTTGTTAGGTGTTGTGGAGTTGATTCCAAATCATAACAACCCTATGAGCAACAAAAGGAAACACTATCTGGTCCTGTGCCATCCTTAGAACCATTACTATGCTTGAGTCCATTGTTGCACTACTCTGTCAATCCATTTTGTAGAGGGTCTTCCCGTTTTTCACAGATCCTCTGCTTTACCAACAATGATGTCCTCTTCCAAAGATTGGTCCATCTTGATGACATGTCCATACTATGTGAGACAGGGTCTCAGCACCATTGATCCTAAGGAACATTCTGGCTGTGCTTCCTCTATGACAGATGCGTTTATTCTCCTGGCAGTCCATGGTATATTTAATATTCTTTGCTAACACCATAATTCAAAGGTATCAATTCTTTGGTCTTCCTTACTTATTGTCCAGCTTTCACATGCATATGAGGCGATTGAAAATACCATGGCTTATGTCAGAAACACCTTAGTTCTCAAAGTGACAGATTCTGTTTTGTTTTGTTTTGTTTTTTTTAACACTTTTAAGAGGTCTTTTGCAACAAATTTGCTCAGTGCAATACATTGATTTCTTGACTGCTGCTTCTATGGGTGTTGATTGTGGATCCAAGTAAAATTAAAATCTTGATAGCTTCAGTCATTTCTCCATTTATCACAATGTTGCCTATTATTCCAGTTGTGAGGACTTTTTTCTTTCTGTTGAAGTGTAATCCAGATTAAAGGTTGTAGTGTTTGATCTTCATCAGTAAGTACTTCAAGTTCTTTTCATTTTTTTTAGGCAAGGATGTGTCAACAATGTATCACAGGTTGTTAATGAGTCTTCCTCCAATCCTGATGCCACATTCTTCTTCATATAGTCCAGAGTCTTGGATTATTTGCTCATCATAGAGATTGAATAAGTATGGTGAGGATACAACCCTGACACACACCTTTCCTGATTTTAAATCACACAGAATCCCCTTGTTCTTTTCAAATGACTGCCTCTTGGTCTATGTACAGGTTCCTCAAGAGCACAGTTAAGTGTTCTGGAATTCCCATTCTATGCAATGTTATCCATAATTTGTTACCTACTGAGCCTGATGCATTTGCATAGTCAGTACACAAGTAAACATCTTTCTGGTATTCTCTTTCAGCCAAGATTCATCTG